CTGACACCCCTGACACTCACACACACACAGAGGATCAAGAGCAACACACTGACACCCCTGACACTCACACACACACAGAGGATCAAGAGCAACACCCCTGACACACAGAATCAAGACCCTTAGACATAAATATCAGCCTTCCCCGTGACACAGTGCACATAAACAAGATGTGTTTGTGTGCTTTGTATCGTGTTGCAGTTAAACGTTATGTTTCATCTTCCTTGCTGCGCTGGAAAAGGCTCGGGAGGTCTCAACATGCAGTACTAGTCTTCTCATCTGTCAGCGCAAGCCTCTCCAAACAGGGTAACCGGCTGGAGGCAGAACTCCACTGCAGGACAGGCTAATCGATACAGTTGCAGGTTCACAGTTCTGTCACACACCGGGTTTGTCAGCTCTACCCAGATCTGTGTGAGCAACGGCCCCCGGTCGGAGGGCTCTGGGTTTGCGGCGGATCGGCAGTGAAGCCGGGTGAGTGACTGGCTGAGAATGGGCACATCAGTCAATCGTATCCGCGCTCTGACCGCTACACATCACTTCAGCCCTTCAGTCAAGAGTATCAGCTACCACAGTCTTAAAATGAATATGCCACCCTCCCCACCAACCCCCATTACTGCGGTCTCACAGTATTATCTGTTTCACAATTCAAACTGTTTCGGTCCTGCGATTTTCCCTAGGTCTTCCACAGTGACACATGCCCAGATAGTTCGCGCGTTTGGCGGATTCTCACTAATTGAAAACAAGCGAATTCCCATAATTTTACAGCCCATATAGCGGGCACCCCTTCCACTCTGATTGTGACTGGGTCATACCTGTGATGTAGTCGAAGACCTCGGTGTCTATTTCGGGAAACTCGCTTCTGAGAATATCCACGTATGTCGCCATGATACACCGGCCCTGTCCGCAAGGAAAGCGCATGCGAAAAGCTGCGACAAAACAGAACCCCTTTCGCAGAGCGCTCTGGGAATCGTAGTTTTATGCCTTAAAAAACAGTTTAAATAAAATCTAATTGTAACGTATTTCGGCTTTGGATAATGTTAATCACTAGCATATTTAAAAATGAATTCAAAATTATCTTAATATAGAATACAATTCTCTGATTGCTTTCTAAACATAGATCAAATTTATAAACTACAACTACAACTCCCACTGATGCCTCTGCCTGTGACGTTACTACTAAATGCACAGCTGACCAGCTTGCTAGGACTTGTAGTCTTCAACTTGAAACTCTGGACTACAACTCCCAAAAACTAAGCTATTTAAAGACAAGCCGTTTTCTTGGCCAGAGCACATATGAACAACTTTAATGAATTAGAATTCAGGTTTCGACCTACTGGAGGAAGTTTATAGTGTCCTGATTTGAATATCGCCGCAACTCTCACAGTCTTTATCTATTCTAATTGTTTATCTGAAAAAATCTCCTCTCTCCGCAGGGGCTGAGGTACATGTAGCTCCTCACTGCTCTTCCTCTTTACAGTGTGGGGACCTCTGGAACTGTACTAACAACCCTACAGGAGTTACAGGTGTCTTCAATCAGCAGTGAAAGATCACATTAATCTGAAAGTACAGTAATAATAATAATAATAATAATAAGAATAATAATAATAATAATAATAATAATTGCTTACACTTATATAGCGCTTTTCTGGACACTCCACTCAAAGCGCTTTACAGGTAATGCACCCCTACTCTTTTCGAGAAACGCCCTGGGATTTTTAATGACCACAGAGAGTCAGGACCTCGGTTTTACGTCTTATCCGAAGGACAGCGCCTGTTTACAGTGTAGTGTCCCCGTCACTATACTGGGGCATTAGGACCCACATGGGCAGGGTGAGCGCCCCCTGCTGGCCCTGATTCATTGTGTTACAGATTGTAGAATGAAAAGCAGAAAATCCTGAGGCTGCAGTCTTCCAATGTACAGCAATAGACAGAGACACTACATGGAAACAGTGCAGGTATATTTTATTCAGAATGCATGGACCCTGTCCTCTACAAGTTGTTGTTCATTTGACCACCAGATGGTGGTATAAGTCGTAACAAGCTATAACCTATGACCTGGGGCGTAATTATAAACTGACCAACAGAGGAAAGCCAGAATCACGTTGTGTTATCGCTGGTGCAGAAGCCCTAAGGCTAAGCAGACCCAGGAGGCTTGTGCGAGGTTCTCCTGTCTCTTTTCATCTCATTGTGTCCTGGGTGCTGCCAAAGTCCTTTGCCAACCCACCAAGATGCATTTGTGACAAAAGTTCAGCTGAGTCCAGGTGTGTCCAGTGCTTGGACTGCAGCCTCTCTGCGCACCGCCTCTGGGGAAAGGCTGTTGCTTGTGCAGCCTCTCTCTTTCTCAGCTGCTAAGCTCTTCTGGCTTCAGTCGGATTATCCAAGAGTTCGCTGTGATAATGGTACCCTGGCGCAGGATACGGCAGGTGTACTGGCCCTCGTTAAACTCGTTAGCAACAATACGCAGTTCGTGGTTCTTCATGGAGATGTAGCCCGGGACAGAGGAAGACAGCAGCTCCCCATCCTTATACCAGCTAGAGAGAGAAATCCAGAAATTGATCAGATTCCTGCAGCACAGCAAAGGAGTTTGAGCTGTTTCATGTTTTCCCAGCTGTAAGCTGTTGTACACAAGCCATTTCAAGCACTCAGAATGCAACTAACTGTAGTGTGATGTGTGTATCACATGTGGCGTGTTATCCCCATACCTGACTTTAGGGGGCACTCTGCTTGCCCTGTTGCCACAGCGGAAGTTTACAATCTTGCCCCGGGGCACCAGCTTGGTCTTGATTTTGGAGGCAGGGGATGCCGTTGTGGTGTCCACTGGTGGGGGCTCTGTAACAGGCAGATAAATCAAGTAGCCAGAAAGAGCAGGGAGGGGAAGAGGGGAGGAGGACTGAGAAAATATGATGCTACTGTAGAATTTCAGGATATCCACTGGAGCAAAGAGCCCACTGGAGCACAGTGACCACTGGAGCACAGAGCCACTGGTTAGAGCAGAGTGTCCACTGGAGCACAGTG